TTATTTCCAATTAAACTATGCTGTTGATTCAACAGCATTTTTTTCTCAATATATGTTATGTCTAATAAGATCATAGTATTATTTATTAATTGCTATGCTATTATGCTACTATATCTCTTAAAAATATAATTAATTAATCACTGTAAATAACATAATAAATAGAAATATATAAATTTTTTTTAACTACAAGATTTATCATTTTTCATTTCTGTCTTGCGCAATGAAATGATATGACATGTCTGATTCATGAATAAAACGGCATATCAAGTAGCTATTACGGAAAATTTATAAAAGTCATTTTGTATATATATATATCAGTAAGATAATGGCAGTGATTCCACTTTGATCAGTAAATAAAGTTGTTCAAATCTCATTACATGTAATCTCAACAACTACAATTTTAAAGATATAATTTAAATCGTTTTTAAAATTAGTTCATAAAAATAAGTGTATAATATGTGTGTAAGATTTTTATGCCTTTGTAAAATTCTCTAGAAATATAAAAATATTGTTAAGAATATTGTTTTATAAAGTAAATACATATCTATTCTTTGTTATATATCTCATACCAGAAAATAAATGGTTAAAGGTAAGATTTAAAAATTTTTTTAAATTACAGTATAATTTGAGCGTACATCAAATTTCGCAAGATATATGCGTTAACATAATTTATATGAGCGTTTCTTTATGTAAAACAATTGTTTAAAATTAGACAAAAAAAGACATATTCATCTTAATTAGATTTCTTAAAAAGAATTATTTTAAATGTACACAGAAAAGACAAGACATTTATGCTGGCATAAATCTGAAAAATAATTTCGTCGAGCTATCAAAATAATTATTTATATATGACGTTCAAAACTAGTTGCTGGAATATAAAAAGATTTTAACTTATATAAGAGAATAATATAACTTATATAAGAGAAGAAATAAGGTAAAATTGAAGAGGATTTTATACTTTAAATCATAAATAATGATCATTATTTTACTGCTACTGTGTTTTCTTCTTATATTACTATATTACTATATTCTTCATGGAAAATATGCGAGTTACATTAATAAGATACCAAGTTTACCGTCACTTCCATTATTCGGTCATATCTTTATAGGGTGGTTGGCTACACAAGGCAAGTAAAATATCTTTAATATCTTTATTTTAATAAATTGATTTGATTATGTAAAATATTTATTAACAGGATTATTAAGAAATAAAGTATAATAATAAGTATAATAATTATATATTGCATATATGTGCTCGGCCAAAAACAAATTGCAAAAAT